ACCATACGGGAAAAAGTATCCATAAAACTATAATTTATGATCACACATATGGAAGTATTTGTTGTTACCTGCCTCTCCTTTCTCAGTTATTTTTACTTTAGATGTAACATTTTTACCATTGCGAATTTCCAATAATGTGATCGCTACAGCAATATTTTATAATAAAAGATAGCTGTTTAATTAAGTTTATAACATGTACATTGAATATTGTGGTATTACTTTAAAATCTATCTAAATATGAGTACATTATTACACGCATAGCACATAAAATATTTATTTAATTTGTGTTCTATGCATATAAATTGATTATGTTTAAATTGGCCGTATCGGTACTAATTATTCAAAACCGAATGAAAGAAAAATTGTTTGTTAAAACAAATAAAATAAATAAAAAATAAAATATGTTAAAAGACAATTGTAAGAAAAAAGGCATTTGTTTTGTCAACGTCTATTTATATATATTTTCGATATGAATACAATTAAAGGTTAGATAAGTTCGATAAGCATTTTTTTCTTATAAAAAGAAAGAAGAGCGTAAGCCTCGAAGTAATGAAAACTCACTTGATTTTGAAGATAGCCCTAAATGCAATTCATCTTGGTCAAGGTGTCGTCGTCGACGGTGAAATGTAGGAGGAATAGTTTAAAGCGGCGTGGTTAAAAAATAATAAAACAATAGGGTTCGCATGTATAAGTGACTGTAATAATCGTATTATAAATACATGGACGCATGAAATATTTTAACAATGGCTATTAGAGGCTTAATTATATTGAAGATAAAAAATGAAAACAGAAAAAAAATAACAATAATAATACGTTTACTCATTTCTCTACACAGCCTCTCGCATAGGAGGATTCCCGCTGACAGAGTATCGCACGTTACATAATATTACATATACGAATTGGCCACCAGCACTCGACAGACCGACCATATCCATAATAATGTGGTAACCCTAACCGTTTACGACAGCCAGGCACGTAGCCGGGCAGAGGCCTAGGTGAGCCGGGTCCTCCTTAAACTTACAGTATTGCCCAGGGTCTGCCCCCCTCCTAAATTCATATAGATATTATTATTTACTAAACATAAAAAAACACGTAGTGCTCATCACGCTTATGCGCATTAAACAAATCTATTATGACAACTATTCGGCAGTCAAATTTATTACGATTTCGATTCTCGTACGACTAGGTTTTTTATATTCGTAGAAAACGTTGTCTTTAGGTTCAACATCGGGTCGTCTGTTCGTAGTAGACATAACGTTTAACAAGAACCAGTGTCGAACAGTGTCCGCACTACGAGTTACTCGCGGTAAATAAATCACGGGAAACGGTACAAGGGCCCGAAAACGGTTGCCCCCCCCCCTCCCCATCCTAAGATAAATCGTCCTGCTACGTGCGAGTCCTTTGAACGGGGGCCGACGAACGGCAACGGCAACCGGCAACGTGTGAACCGCGTACCGAGATTTCCCGTGTCGGAACCCGCGGCGGCGGCGGCCGATTGTCAACGACCGACGGCGGGGGGGGGGGGAGGGAGGAACGCGCTGCGATGCCGAGCCGGTAGACGGAGATCGAGATTTATTACGGACGCGTAACAATACCGGGAGCAGGCGCACGGGATAGCGTTTCGCGTACGTACGTAACGCGTTCATTGTATGTCGTGCGCGTTGCATTGCGCAGTCAGTCTCAGCGACGGAGAAGAAGAATAATAAGAAGCGGAATTGGAATGTTTCCTTGTTCTCGGAGCGCGGACGCGCGTACCCGTCGACCGTTCGGAACAGTTCTGAGCACCGTTCCGGCGCACAGTGTTTTAAAATCGAAAAAAGCTGGCCGAAAATCAAATTTTTAAATTTTTTTTTTTTTTTTTTAATAAAAGAGTGGAAACATTTTAGATTATAAGTTGTTAAATTGTACTACGTATACAATTTTCGATAAAAAAAAAAAATTTTATTGGAAAAAATATTATTTGAATTTAAAAAAGTACGCTGATGTAAACATTTTCGATTAGTTTTCCCTGTTTTCAAATCATTATTAAGTAAATTCTTACGTTGTGATTAACCAAAAAGTTATTAAATATTTGATAGTGCATATGCTATAGGTATAGTATAAATGCTTTTTTTGCTCGCAACACTTCGATATTTTGTAGTGAATTTGACGTTATTTAACGGTATCGGTAATATAAATCATTAAAAGATGTAATTTAAAGATACTTATGCCCTGTGTTCCCCATCCATTGTCACATTTTATAGATAGTTGCAATCTGTACTTTAATATAATATACAACTTTGCTGCCCGTTTCTACCTAACCTAGCCGCGGCGGCGCGACGATCAACACGTCGTGCCGGGATAACGTGTGTACTGCAATCGCGACGTGGAACGCGGTTTCGGTTCGAGCGCGTGTCTCCCGTACGTGGGCCGTTCGTCGTTTTCCGCCACCGCCGATCCGGTGACCGATCAATCCGACTTTCATCGAATTATTTTTTCTCGTCGTTCTCATTTCTTATTCTTAACGGACACATCCGCGTGGCGGTGGTCCGTCATAGCATCGTATCGATTTGACTCGTGACGAACGTTTTTCTCCGCGAAAATTGGATACTTTTTTTTTTTTTCTCTTTCTTTCTTCCTTTTGACGCGACGTCTTCGACGGCACGACAAACTCGGTCGTTCGGTTTCTAGCGCGAAGACCTTATTTACACTGTAGCAAATCTATTCTTGTTTAGAAAACCGCGCTCTATGCGTGCGTCGTATACGACGGACCGTTATGCGCTCGTACACCGAACGTACACAATGTAATGTAAACACACAACGTATTATTATTACCGCGTTATTATGTGGCTGACAGCTGTACACGTTATTCTTTTTTTTAAACAGTTCTAATTTCGTGACGATCTAATCTAAAAATCGTGGGTAAAATAACACTTTTGTATTTTTCTCGCCGAATCGGTGACAATTCAATAGATCGTTGGTTTCACATTAATTATGTATGGCAATCAAACGTATAAAACATAAACATTTACTCTTCCAGACAACTATAGCAGAACCGATTTAAAATATTATTATTATTTTTTTTTTCAATCGAACTACGATCGAAAATTTAGCTTCGTCGAAAGACCAATGCAAGTTCGTCAGTTTTATTTGATTCAAGTACGTATAGCATTATGTACCGCGATATTTTTATGAACGTGTACTAAACAAGACGATCATATATGTTTAACTACTATCCAGTAGAAGTATAAACCGTAGTATACGATTATTGTTTACCATTATTGATTAGTTGATGGTATTTATTATCAAATAATATTGAAAGTTTAGCATATATAGTTTTGTACACTTTATCTTTACACCGCAAACATAATGAGCATTTTTTCCGAAACGCAATATTATTATTGCTATGTTTTTATTGTACTTTAATTATGAACAATAATTTCCTTAATAATATGTAAAAATATATAATAATTACAATACAAAATAATGAGCATCGAAATGATTTTAATACACATAGGTACATGCGCAAACTTTACAATGACCTTTACCTTATAAATTTATGGATATATTTATGCTGGTACTTAAACAATTATAATATAATTTATATTTTAATTTATACAAGACTTATGCTTATAAAATGGGTCCATAAAGCATTGGAAATAATTAATTTATGTGAATATTATTTATCAAAAATGGTTTTTTCGAACTTTTTTTTTTTTAATTTTCAAGGAAGAGGATAAATAACTTATGCTTGCTTTTTTTTATTCTGTACATCACTAGATGTTAGAAACATAATTAATATATACCAATACATAATTGACCTAACCGTAGATGCCCCAAAAATATAAAATGAGACGTTTACCCTTCTGGATTTTTATAAAATATACTTGTATTAAGTAGTTCGTTTATTAATGATTTTTTTGTAGAAATGAAATCCGTTGTCTAACATGAAAAAATAATACACCAACGGTAAATACGTTAAAAATATGTTAGGTTATTTTATTACTTTTATGTTAAACTTATCAACTATAACCCTCCAGACACTTAATGATTTTTAAATATTGTATCATAACATATTAATGAAGTGTTTTATATTTTTCAAGGGTTGTTTATAAACTCTAATGGATTATAAATCGTAATGTTTTATATTGTAACCCAAATATCGTTGAAACATTTTTATAAAACATGTTAAGTTCATCATGATCAAATTACATAGAAACAAGGTTTTAAATCTTAAGCAACACTATTAAACCTTATGAATACAAGATATAATTATAATGATGATAATAATAATAATAATAATAATAATAATAACAAAAGTTGAAAAATCTTAATGCATCACTCAAAGTGTAATTCAAAAACAACTTTATAGTTACACTATATGTTTACACATGTAGCAATAAAATATACTCAATAGGTACTTAGTATCGGTTATCAAGGAACATAATGAGCAGAAAAAAAACAGTTAATGATAATAATTGTTGAGACCATGCTATGCCACTGTACCGAGTTTAAAACTCAAATACGTGTTTGAGCTTTTTACGACTAATAGCTGGTTCAGCACTTTTAGTAGTATTATGTAATAATGAAAACAACTAGTGTCGTAGTCATTTGCTCTTAAACACACCCCCTCCCCCAGAAAAAATTATATCTACGCCACTGAAAACAACAGTTGAACGTTTCTCCGATGCGAGTTTGACGAATTCATTAAATTTCCCTAGCTACATTAAGGACAATATTATTATCCATCCGATAGTATACTACAAGTGACGGTTTACAATCATTAGTTTCCCAAAAATCAGTAACTCAGCGTCGCAAGACGGACGAGTTTCTGGAGGATTTTTTTCGATCGAACTGCCGTTTGTAACCTCCTGCTACCACTTCCCCTCTCCAATCCCCCATTCGCGGTCACCAAAGGCCGCGGCGTATACGCGCGTAAGAAGACGCCATCGCCTTTAGAGGCGCCGGTGGAATCGACCACTACGCAGCGGGTGCCGATAGACGACAGTCGTGCAATTTACCTTTGATCGTTTGGGAGCCGTGCACCGGTACGGGCACGGCCTGCAGCAGCACGAGCAACGCGCACCAAAGGCCACACGTGTTGCGCCGCATCTTATCGGTCCGCGTCGCTCGTATCCATTGTACGGTGGTCACGCGGTCCGAACACCGGTCGTACGAATCACTGGACGAGCCGTACGGACGCCGCGATCGTTTGCCGCGGGGCCGGTGGTCTGCGACAGCAATGGTAATTGTAGCGCACGCACATTTCCGGTAGGGATAGGTCGAGGGGAAAACGGTAAGAACAACAACGAGAGCCCTTTAACCCATCACCATCGCTGCGCGGGAAGCCGAGAGTTTGACACGGGATGAACGCGAGCGTACGGGGTGCGCAGGGCAGCGACGAGAAAACGCGAAACACCGGACGGACGGGCGGATCTCGCACGGACGCGGACGACGGTAAGGCGCGGGAACGACTGAACGGCCGTGTCCCCGTCCGGTTTTGGCGGCACGCGGTCGTTCCGTAGCACGCGCTCGCGCGACCGCAGCGCCGTACGCGGCGAACGGACGGCGTACCGGACGGCGACGGTAAACGCGATAATAATAAGTTCACGGATCACCCGTGTTACGCGGGTTATTTACGCCCGTGGGGAAGGGGGGGAGGGGGGTTTTCTCCGTTCCCGCGTCCGCGGCGGCCACAAGTTTTCCGCGACGGTAAACGTGCGCGGTCGGACGTACGTTTTCGAAACGCCGTGTTGGGGCGCGCGCGACGTTCCAGCGCGGTAGTAGCGGCCAACGGGTCCCGTTGAAACGCCTCGCGGTACGACCCCGCGGGAACGTCATCGGCACAACGTGTTCGCGTCGTTTCGAACCGAAACGTGACGGATCGAAAACTAACGGCGACCGGACCACGCGAGCCCTTGCCCGGGACGTGACGCGGCCGTTCTTACCCGTTCGTTTTTCGCGGGCAACGGACCGCAACACGTAGCGACGTGTCGCAGCGCGTCGTCAGTAAAAAAAGGCTAAACAAAAAAAAAAAAATAAAATAAAAAAAAAAATAGAACGGGAAAACTGGGCTTACTCTTAAGCGCAGTCGGACTCATTTTGCGTACTTGTATAAGCTAGATGCGCACTTCATAATCGGTTTTCGCGTAATCGTTTTTTATAATTTATTGCCACATTAATAAAACGGGAATTAGGTGTTTTTGCAATAAGAAAATTATTTTATAAAGCAGCCACGCACTAACGGTTTTTGATCGGTGCGCAGTGTTCGAATCGCAAAAGTGCGAAATGATGTTCGAAACCGTCGTGTGTATGCTTTAAAACCCATGGAAAACACCGTACATGGAAATGGGATGAAAACTGAGTAGTTTGATTTTTGTTCCGTGTTTGATGTTAAGAATTGAGAAACTAAAAGGGTGTGTATCTTATTCGGTGTTCGAACTAATAGCACACAGTTTTACACATAACATGTACGTACTCATGGATTTTTATTTATCATACATGTTCATTATTTTATTTCTTCTTAATAGATTACATTTTAAATTATTCCTCCTAAATGTTGAAAATATTATTTGTAACTATAATTTGATATTATATTTCAAGAGCAAAGGTCTATTTTGATAGGTTTATTTAAAAAAAATGCGTAGTTGAAAAAAATCTTACAATAAGTCCCGCAGGAGAATATGGTACACCTCAAGGCAGCTGCTCGCCTCCACGTCGTCATTTAATAATAATGACGTGAGTACGTTGGAAAACCTAGGCGATCGTCGCACGAAAACCAAGACTTGGTGTCACGCTTCGAAAAAAAAAACCTTTGAGTTTCAAAACGATAGACGTGGTATGGTTGTATCGTTGTGACCTACAAGAAAACCTCTTCACTTCCCACGTTCAAAGCCTATCGGCCATAATAGTATGATTATTCGTGGGCACTGGATAGTTAGAACCACGGCGTGAGTCCGGACGATGCCTGGAGGCAGACCGTGGCATCTCAATCGATTGGCCATCAGAACACGTACTACTACTACCACTACTACTGCTCGACGCGCGGAGACAACGGCACACGTGATTGACCCGAGACTTCATCGTTGCCTCACCAATCGAGATTGCAATATCTAAAACCGCAGCAGTTCAAAACTTTAGAGGTTTTTACGGGCATATGTTATTGAGAACAATAATGATAGTAAGGATCTATAGTTGGGTTTTGATCGATATAAAAATATAATACCGTGTGAAACATGGAAAATGTGCCCTGCGAGTATATTTTTATTCGTCTCCGCAATGATGTTGTGGAATTTACAATCGTTTTACACGTATATAATATAATAATATATCATAGTCGTAGGGTTTTGATGCATTAGAAAACATTATAATTATTCCTATATAATTTTATGACGAGCGTAACTAACATTTTCATCAGCATTATTTATTTTATATTCAACGATAATGTTTTTGACTGTATAATACTGATTATAATTATTGCTAATTATCATAGTTACGAGTACGGTTACAAAAGCCTAAGAGAATATTATTACACTGATGCCTTTTCAATATATTGTTTATAATTAGATTAAAGCTGTATAAGACAATGTATTCATTGTTTTGTTAATCATTCATCTAAAAAACATATTTTATTTACTGTTATAAAACACTATATTATTATAGATATGATGTAAAATAATTATATTCTAACATTTGTTATCATGCTATAATATAGCTCCGAGTTATAGTATGGAATTTTATTAATTATATCTACTGGTGCTTCAATAATTAATCCTATATTTTCGATTAAAGCAATCATACTTCATCTTTTCCTATTTTATACTGTTTAACATTACATAAAATGATTATTACATCAAAAATGTAATGCTATTTTAAACATAAAACAATGAAAATATAAAATAATAAGTAAATTTATGAAAACTGGCTATAAAGCCAACAAGTGTTAATAAAATGCTAAAATGCGCGAGTATCGGGTGGAATACGAAACGGGTGATTAATATGAGAGCATTGTTCATATACATTTGAAATCAATGTATCATTGGGTTTCAAAAAACTATTCTGAAAGAACAAATGTATTATTCAGGTATATGTATGAAAGTATAATTCAGTATCTATTTCGTAATATATTTGTACAAAAAAAAAAAAAAAAGAATATAACCTTTAAACTTTGTTAAACAGTTAAAATTATTATTATAGTAAATATATAATCATGCTAATATGTGTATTCAGTTTTTTTAAAGTTTTAACAGTCCATAATATTAAAACGAATAAACAAAACAAGAAAAATCAAACATATGTAAATCAATGTAAATTATAGCATAAACGTTTTATTTATAAAAGAAATACTTTTTATAAAATATAACTATAAATTAAATTGTTTAGAATATAATATTTATGTTCTACATAGTCGAACACTGGAAATTGGTTTAGGAAACAAATGCTGAATGTTTAAAATAACCTACTCTTTTGAAATATTATTTTATATGTACATATTTACAAATGTTTGATAAGAAATAAATAATCTTTTATGTATTTGATTCTTAGAACCTCATTATAAAAGATCGTTTAATATAAAAAAAGTGCATAATTCAGTTATATTACCAGTGGTGAAGGTCCGAATCTTGATTTCAATTGAAGTTATTTGCAATTTTTTACATCAGTGAATTGACACACTTACACAAGTACTATAATAGGGTGCTTACATTATAATTTGTGCAATCAAAATAATACACACATATAAAATTCATTTTCAAAAGATTTAATTTCCAAAATTTAAATTCATCATATTGTTCAATACACTTGTTGAAAAATTGCATGATAATTTATTTGATCTTTCTCTACCATCACCCACAAACCACTACTTATTGTTTATGATAATTATAATTATAAACTATTATAATAGTAAGCGTCTAAACCGGAGTTCATAAATTAACGTTATATTCGTATTGTACGTTATTTTTATGGTAACCACTATTATATATTATATTATATCATATATTTAGTCAATTTTTTTTTAATTTCATGCCATTGTTCTGATTCCGAATTTAATGACAAAACCCTGAGGAGTGTTACCCACGTTATTTTTTAATGTACCTTATTTTTGTTTATGAATATTTATAACGAACACACATATGGCATGATCAGCTATACACACATTTAACATAGTAGCAAACATAACATTTAACCTACTATTATCTTTGAGTCCCGAGACATTGCAAAATGTTTTCTTACAAATAGTATTGTGATGATAATTAAAGTATTAATAAGTAAAACTATGATTTTTAAAATAATTGTATTATAGTGATCTCCCTGGAATCTAATTATAATAATTCTGTATTTATAAATCGAAAAAAATATGCTGTGATTACTGTTGTCTGAATCATTCCATACGATGTTTTCGGAACATTTAATGTAACATAGTATTGTTCAACCCCTAAATATTTCGTATTGAAACGCAGGTTTTAGACAATTAGTAGCACATTCAAAGTGACAAAGTGACAATGAGTCTACAGACTACAGGCTACCTAAAAATATCATAACGTGTTGGAACATATTTTATCATAATGGTTTTGGTTACCTTATTGTTATCAGAATTGTTTTGGTTGACTTAAATTATTTACTCCAATGCTTATATTTTATTATTATTATTTTTTTTTTATAAATATTTATTAGTAACATAAAATTAAAATAACTATATTGTACCATATCGCCTACCTCAAGACGAAAAATCATCATGTAGCATATCAAATTATTCATGATAACATACAATTATTACACATTCAACATTTATCCTTCAACGTGAATTCATTGATATAATTATTTCAATAATCATTACTTTCACACTCCCAGAATTATTATTATCATTAGGGAGATAATGATTGCTATCTATGTCATCTTTTTACTTAAATCTTGGTAATATTTATTTTATAGTAGAATATCACAATGTCAAATGCATTAAGTGCTCGATATTAATGAGTATGAACGTGTAATATACGTTCATAAAGTAGAATCTAAAATAGAATCTAAAAGAGTTTAAAAAAATGTGTACAACGTCCATAGATTATTTCTTAAGCAAATGTACGGCATATACTTTACAAATACTAAGGAGGTATTTTTCTACAACCTTGAAAGCAAAAAGAATATCAATTATATAAATATATATGTAATAATGCATTTCTGTTAATTGTTAATTAATAATAACTTAAAATAATTGGTATTTTGAACTAAAATAAATAAAACCCCGAATTGTACATAGTTTGCTGCTATAAATTAATTTTTATTCATCCTGACATTAGTTTTAAATATTTTTTAGTTTATAACAAAAATACCTGAGGTCTCGCCCGAGAGTCAAAGATTTTTTTTTAACCGTTCTCGTTTTTTACTGTTAATACGAAATCGGTGCATAGAATTTGGTAAAGTTGAGTAAGTATTCGGTAGATAAATAAGACATGCATTAAGAATTAATATTATTGTCATTGTCCTGTGTGACCAAAATGTTTATCACTCAGTTGAATTAATTTTAAAAAAAATAAAGTTTAGATTTTCAATTGATCTCAAAAATATTTCTTGGACTCTTGGAGTATTAGTCTAGAAATCAAATGCTACAGTTTAAAAAATTTAAAAAAAATGACAACACAAATAATATGTTAATGTTTTTTTTTTTTTTTTTTTTTTTTTTTTTTAATTTAGTATGCTCAGAAACTACGGTAATATGAATGGCAATATTATGTTATCGTAGTACGAAAAAACGATTTATATTAAAATTATATGTATCTATTACAATATATAATATATTTATTTTTTTACATACATAAAACACGTATTGTATCGCAAGTAGCAAGATGTTTTTTACAAATCGTATTTCAATTGCCTATACACTACGCCGTATAAATTGCATTTTTAAATTCGTACAGAACAAATATTATTGAGCAACAATTTAATTGATTATATATACTAAATATTCTCTTGAGTTATATTACATTTTCCATATTTATATAATTAAAAAATTTATAATTCATACAATTTTTAATCTTTAATTGTTGCACGGTTTTCGAGGTTTGAAAAAATCTTGACATCAATTATTATTTCAAGAAGTGCTTTGTAATGAATAATAATAATTTAATAAATACCTTTAAACTTGATTTGCTGAAATCTATATAAATTAAATGTATGTATTTTAAATTTTTATGTTTTTATTTCTCGAAAATATACCAGGAGTCGATGAATATAATTTTAGTTTTATCCCTAGGAATTACAATAATTTAAAATTTTTAATTAATTTGTAAATTGCCATAATTTTCTTACTTTTTCTAGCTTCATATTTAAGAAACGATTTTTTATGTGACAGTCAACACAAATTCGACTGCAAGGATTGCTAACATATACTTATCATTTTCTCTGATAACAAATATTATTTAAGTGATACAATCGGGAGATCATATTCTGTAATTCTATACTTGATTTAAAATATAAAATGTTAAATTTTTTTTATATTATAATAATTAAGTTTTTAAATTTAAAATAAATCGATATTTTTCTATGATTTTTATGAAATACAATTTTTGTAAAGAAAAAAATTGTTCGTATAGGAGTGATACAAAGGAAGTCGGAGTATTTGAAGGTTAAACATAAGAAATTGTCTCTACACTACTAGAAATTAAGGCTAATTTGCGCCACTGCATAGCCGGAACGGCGAATAATAAAAATAATAATAATCAAAGATAAGACGACGACCGTGTTATATGCAATAGCGGACGACAAACAACAGACGTTTACGGGCGTTGGCCAAAAGTGCATACGGCAACAACAAAGAAAAATTAATAGCAACAATTAATTTACATAACTCGTGATTACAAAGACATTTTAACATTTTAATTACAATAATTTGGAAGGGAAAGTAAAATGTATGGAAACGATATTGTAAGGTCACATCGCCATGATGAGTTGCCTACTTGCCTAACAAATTGCTGAGTATTTAATGAGTGTATGAATAATTTTTTGCGCAGCGATGGCCATGCATAAAATATTACAATAGCAATACAATGTGGTAGTGAAACATCGGTTTATTTAAACGAATACATATTTCAGATATAATTTGTGACCCATTCGCATACCGCATTGAACAATATCATACGATAACAAACAATCACACGTTAATAATAGTGGTTCAATTGGATCCGGAAACATGAAAATTTTCTAGTATTTCCAATTCACAAGTTTTCGCCTAATCACTAATGATTCATGGTATATAAGTAATTATACTTCACATCATATTATCTTCAAATCCATACAATGTCTTAGACTATCACATGTATAAAACATTTCACATTGATACTTAGAATCACATTAATCCATTCATATCCAAAATTATTTTTATAATTTCTCCTCGTTGCTTTAAAAGAAAATTACCAAAAGATTTACTCAACAGCAAAGTCTAAAAGAAAAAAAAAGGAGAAAAACACGATTACAACGATAATAAATTATTTTAATGACGAGAAAAAAAGAAAATTATATTTTAAATACCTAACATATTATAATGATAAATGCACATTTGTTATACAGCACCATCAAGTTGAATGCGAATAGTTTTCGCAAATTTATTTTTAAAAATTGTAAATGGATTTTGAGTGGATTGATCGACTTGTTGGAATTAACTTCGTGGACGTTTGTAACGTGCTAGCATATTGGTTCATACCGAGAGCCAGTAAATACAATTTTTCCAGTTTTACGGTAAAATATTGGCTAATATAGCCCCCGTTCCAAATATCGGAGTAAGTTATATCGAATAGTGCAGTAGCCTTTTTTACTATGATTTTATGTAAACCGTTTATATTATTACTCAACTACGGTTCTATATTAATTTAATTTTAATTTTGTAATAAATATAAATTAAGTGTTACATTTTATCCTACATATATTTATTTAAATATTTTGTGGCAGTTTATTCGTTTTCTTTAAAAAACTAATTCATGAATATGACGAAGTTGTTCATTGAATAATCGTTAGGATTTTAAATAATGTGACCAAATATTTTCCAATAAAAACGGGGGAAAAAAATATTCATCATTTTGATCTTACATAAATTTAATGTGTTGAACAAATAATAATAACTGTAGATCGAGAAGTATAACTTTAACTCATAACAGTTGATTTATTGTATAAAATGAATTCAAAGTGGAATGTCAAATATTTAGTAAAGTAAAATAATTTTAATTGAACTATTCTATAATCTACTAATAATATAACTCATATAAAAATAAGTATTTAATGATGAAAAGTTTTTCTAGTTCATCAATAATATTTTTATTGCTTACAAAATAAAGTGTATGCCAAACGAAATGTGAAAAAATAAATAATTTCCAAGAAACTTAAGACGGAACATCCCAGGAATAGTCCGGCAGTCCCTCCAATAGATACTGAAATGTTATATAAAATAATTATTAGCTGTATTAATGTGTGATAAATTTTAAATATGGATTACCCAAAACGTCAGTGAAACCAAATAAAACGTTTCTTTTTAAACGAAGACGAGGATATTTGATGAGTCCCCACTTTAAATTAGTTCCGAGAAACCTACAAATAAAAACAATATTAATTATCATAAAGCAAACGACCAGTGGTCTACATAGAATTATACTATACAAAATATATCCATAAATTGTATTAACATAGTACCTCTAACCTTTTTTTCACCTTTGAACCACAAATATTATATACAATATCAAATATTTTCAATTGTTATAATAATTAACTAAAAACTATAAGTAATACGTATACGTAAAATATTGTTATTAAAATTAATTATTATTTGAAGAATCATTTAATTCAAGATTTAAAATGGTATTATAAGTTAAAATCAATAAATATAAAATCATTAGTTATACCACGAGACTGTATAAAGGGTAACAGAAAAAAAAGCTATATTCTGACAGTGTTCGTTACTATACGTTAAATTTACGCGACGGTCATTGAATCACAAATATTTCTTATTGTATTTTTGAATCCTGGAAACAAATCAAGTTGACATACTACAAAGGCTACGAGAAAATTTTTAATTTTTTAGAATTCTTGAATTTTTAGTATAAATCTTAATATGTAATCTATATTTTTGTTATGCTCATATAGATCTAGTTTTTCATTTCACCAGTCAAATTTAAAATAATCCAACACAAATAGACAATATTATAGATTATTTATAAATTTATTTACATAATTATTAAAATTTCATTACCATTGTATTGTGCTATCTTCTTCTACGATATAATTAACATCATCGCAGGGTGGATAACAACCACAGTTTACTTTAACATCATCTCCAGTCGTGTTCCTGAGTTTTAAAAGAAATTCTGAAACACAAATGCAATGTCTAATTTAGATTAAACATTTAAATCATATCAAATATTCGGTTTACCCTTATATTGGTCCAAACAATGCATACCTTTGACATCACATATTTTATCATTTTCTGGAAATATAATAATCAGATTTTATCATTTTCAAATGGTTTCATAGTTTGTCAGATTAGAAACATGGCATTAGTAATAATTTGATTAAAATACATTGATTGTTTAACGCCTTGAACTGCACACACAATACATGTTTATTTTTATAGAAACCGTTAAACTTGAATCATTTTGTAAATTCGAGTTATTGAAAACTTAATCATGCCGTATTCTTAAAATTGCATCAAAAATCCCGGCAAACTAAATATAAAAATAGTTTTCACCACTCATCCAACGAAGAAAATTTGACAATTTCTATTTGTCGAAAAAGTCCCATACTTGTACACATTGTAGGCTACGCAACAAAAGTCGTTATGATACGTTATAATATTGGTCTTTGATTTTTTTTTTTTTATAGAGAGATTCGTCCCGGAAGGGAGGGAAAGTGATTGCGCTGTAAAATGATTACATCATCGACTTGCGTTTTCATGTAGGATTGTTGTTGCATCGTTATCAGGCACAAACGCTAGTGGAGAGAGTATAGAGGTTCAACCTCAAAATATTAGAAAAAATGTTATAAAAATATGACCTAGCCTGCAAATTTAATATTTATTTCAAAGGTTCAAATGAGACTTACAAATAAAATCTATACATTTTTATATTATACATTACCAGTGTTGCGTAAAGATAACTAAAAATGTATCTAGATAAAGATAAAAGATAAAGTACTATATATCTGGATAAAAAAGATTATTTTATTTTTTATTTTATTAATTAATCTACACTTTTTTTTATACATTTATACTTAAAAATAAAATAAAATAAAAATAACTTAGATCTAATAGGTACCTCTAACCAGTGGCGTCATTTGGGGAGGGGGAAACTATGGCAAATGCCCCACTCTAAAATTTTTTAAAAAGTCGGCAATTCTTTGTCCTATGATCAAATGCTAAAATCGGTAAATAGTAAATTTTTATTTACTATTTTGTACTCAGAAATCAGATAATATTCTTTTTTAAATACACGTTCACGGTCTATTAAAAATTGGGAAACACTGGCTCCTCCTCAGCTTACGACAATCGTTATTACGCGAACCTTATAAACTTTATTTTTGGTATATTATACATTTCTATGTATGTGATCGTTATAAAACAGTTTTCGTGATATCAATACCATAAAAATTGAGCTCATATAGGCGCGTACTGGCCCACCGGGATACCGGGAAAATCCCGGTAGGCCCTCTCAAAAATTATAAGACCTGGGCCCCTTACCAAATAGGTGCCTGTAGTTTCAGTTAAATTCAGTAATTACGAAATTTCGTAAATAATTTTCAAACCTGCCTTCGCCCCTAATCGTTATTGTTCTAATATACCGATAATTACCACTAGCTACTAATTATTATTTTGCTACCTACCGACAAAAACACTTACTACGTGGTTTATAAAAGTATGGGATACAACCGCAGAGTTTTTTCGCTTGGTCCATTCGACATTGAATTCGACACATATTGTACGTGTACACGGGACTTATTTCTAAGTTGCTTTCGTTCAGAAATCTGCATCCTCTTTGCTTAGGCGTGAGCGAAATGATCTCGGGCGCACTGTATATACTCAGTGCGGTCACGTCCAATGTCTTGTAAAAACCCAAGTCAGATTGGTATGTACGGTAAGCTATGTCCGGGACCTCATAAGGAGAATGCAAAAATCCCTAATAGGTGAACAAAACGTTTGGTTTTAGAAGATCAAGTATTGTCGCGATGAAAGCGAAAACGGTACCTGATATCCAAAGCTTATGGATGTGATCTGTATGAAAATATCACCATCCAAAGGGGTGCCCGAAATCACACCAATTCTCGGCAACATACTTGTGTTGCGACTCATCCAATATCTGCGAAACGTTACACTACCCTGAAGCACGTCTTGTATGCGTCCTTTATTTTCTTTATATTTACCCACTCGTAACTATTGTAAAGTGCGATTTCTCCGTTGTACGAATAACAAGAACCCAATTCTGTTATCGTAGATAATAAGCTGTAAGGAGAAAATATCTCTAAGTGACTGTTACTGACTTCATACGATATATCACTGCGCAGAGAATTAAGGACACTCAAGTAATCTTTCTGTTGTATTTGATTATTCTCGAATACGTCGTTGAATGTTCCATAGGTAGCGTTTGCCAACAGAACCAAAAATGCCCGTAAGTCATCTTTTTCCGAGTCTGAATATGTCGAAAAACTGAGAGCAAAAGGAATGCTTAAAAACTGTACGATTATAAAGTAAATAATGATGTGTAATAATATAACTGTATTCGTTGTTGTTGTTCTGTGACTTATGAAATATGACATTGATGGTTATAAAGTGGCGCTATACGGCTACAAGAATTGGATACTAAATATGGTGGAACAACGAGTCCTTTAAATGTTTGAATGTGGTGTTGGAGAAGAATGTTGCGAGTGAGTTGGACAGAACATCGTACCAACGAAAGCATACTCAGTGAAATAAATGAACGCAGAGAGATACTCAAAACCATTGAAGCAAGACGATAGAACATGATTGGTCACATGCTGAGTATTATATGATCATGTCACCGACATGTTGCCGAAATGTAATATGATTCATAAAACAATTATAATTATAGATCATGAGTTCGAATAACCATCCTTCTAATAAATGCATGCTATTATTACATTTAAAATGTCTACCTATTTTTCATTGGTTCTTACGTTAAGTATATCGTGACCAAACGTATACCTACGTCATTTGTGATGTTAACATATTATTTTAGGTGATTTGAGATCAGTCATTATCAATTATCACTGATTAATATCATTATATTTTATGATAAAAGTTTACACATACTTTGTCTTTATCAGGTTATCAAAACGGTCATCGTCGATTTTATGTTCATCAGTGGGACACAAAGTGAATGCGGGAAGCGCAGTGGTCCATTCCTTGAACTCCCTGTCCATGGATATCACTGTTGGATTTTCTTGATAACGAGTCCAAGTGGACGACCCTAATATCGCAGAGCCGTAGATGCTCAAACCAATCGCCATCATCCAAACAAGCCTGTTACATAATATTAAACTCTAAGTATCATATTGTCAGTAATTAGTACAGTCAGTGGGTTTAATAACTGTTTTATGTAGGTTATAATTTATCCCAGATTTTTCCAAACGAACTTCTTACAAGCTATTAGACGTATTTTTAAATTCTAATTATTTTATACTATCAGGGCACCTGTTTTTAAATTTCAATTATTTTTCATTAACAACGCAAAGAGTGTTTAAAATGTAATGTGATGGTAAATGTGTTTATATAATTTTTATATTAGGAAATATTACACATTTAAAAATATTTTTAAATTATTAAAAAAATTTAAAATGAGATGCAATGTACAGCGACCCAAATATATGCTATTGTAAAATAGTATTATATTTAAATTACATGTATTCATCAATACACTTTATAATGGAAATATTGTTATCAAATATTTTATACCTTTAGTAAGTTTATTATTTATCAACAGTTGATGTGATATCATTGTGTGTATACCCCATGAATAAACTTTAAACGTTTGAGTGTTTCAAAAATCAGTTCTTTAGTAATTTTGTATTTTTATTGACTAAGTATTAACCAGTAAGTACTTAACTATTTAGGTTCGGGTTGTTGGGTATTGAATGGAAGCAAGAAAAAGGTCATTCAAAAACAAAAATAAGGTCTGCTGATTTTTTTTATTTTTACTTATATAGTCACCTTGGTTTAGTTGTACAAAATTGATTTGAATAAATATGACTGTTAATATATTACTTATAAGTAAAAATAATAGAACACTTACTTTTCAGTGAAATGCCTCGTTTCGTCGGTTAAGTGGTAAAAACCATGTATATTGGATGATGAAAAAAATAAATTGATAAAATGTATAATGTTTGTTTTAATGTTTACCAGCACTCCATCGTTGTCTTTTTTTAAGATTTTACCATCAAATTTAAATAAAACATTGTGTTTCTGTGGATTTAGTTCATTCCAATACATTGTGAAATAGATATTGGGAAAGGGCAACTGTAGAATAATGTGAAAATTAGAACAACGCGTGTAGTACTTATATATATACCTACTCGTAGTATTTTTCTTATTGTTATTGTTGTTAAAATATTTTGAATAAAATATTGATAATCGTAGGTTTATGTTTTAAATAATTTAGTTTACTGTTACATACAGATTATGATTTTTTTTTTACCATAACACCACGTATTATGGAGAGTTAAAAACAGATCTTATCATTCTGTATTTTGATGATGGATAAAATTATACGCACGCGAAAATGTATAGTGGTATAATTGTATAGGTAGGTACTACTTTTATAATTTTGTGTCATTATCGTGTCAATGTGGATTATTCATAGACTTAAATATTTTATTGGTAATTATGTAGTACCACTGTCGAATATTGATTTCTAATCCTGATAAAGTACTTGGATTTGTTTTCATTTAGAATGTAAAGTTTAAAATGAATAGGATAAATCATTTGGTGCTTGAATGTGGTAAAAACCATGAAATATGAAAAAAACAAAAGGCATAAAATCATAAAATGAAAATGCACTGAATATCTTTTGAGACCATGTTACGCGACTGGCAGTCATGACGTGAATGTAAAATACATGTATATGTAATCGTAATTTACATGCTTTTATTTGTGAAATAATTCACAAAGTATTTAAATTATCATTTTTATTTTCATTTGATGATTACTTGATAGTTGGACGTCATGGTAATTTAAAAAATAATTATTATCATTTTTTTTATGGATACTGTTGAAAACAAATAATAAGAATTATTAATAGTAAACGAAATAATTTTAGATGAAAGTGAGAATAAGCCTCGAAAATATTATGGAGAAGATGAATCTTTAAAAAATATAGTGAAAATGGTTTACCTAATTATTTTTTTTATGTCTTTAATTTAGATTTTGCTTTCTAGTATAACCGACTGTTTGTTACATAAATAAATCTAAAAAAAAATATACACATGTTTTTGTATTACTAATTAATTTAACGATTGCTAAATTTTAAGTCAAGCGAAAATGGTTCAATAATACAATTTTATTACTTTTTTCGAAGAAGATTCGCAGTACAACTTATAGTATTTTTTATTACTATTTACTATTATACGTGTAATAATTATATTTTACTATAGTATACTTAATACCTACTCGCTATCATTCCGCAATATAAATAAAATAAATAATAATTTATCCTGCACAATGACAATATTTTATATGGATTTAATTTCAAATGTTGAATAACGGTCTGAAGCTTTATACTAACTGTTTTTTCAAAAGTATGTATAGGAATAGTAAATTTTAAAAATTATATTAATATAATACAAATTAACACACTAGTATATACGGTATAATACGGTGCACAATAAAAATAAAATAAAATTCATAATCAATACCTACATGAAATAATTTGAGAAATTCCTTTTAAAAATATTTTTTTATGTAATTACCTATAATCAAATTGTTCGCATATATTTTTTATTCGCAATGATGATTTTAATATTTTATACAATCTCGAATGAGTGGTTACAGAAGGTGTTGAGTAAACAAAAGCTAAACCTAAAAAATTAATACAAATTAACAAACAAAGACAAGAAAAGAAACCTAATTCTTATTAACTAATTGAATTATAAAATATGTTTCTTATATTCGTTCAATTGCTCGTGCTCAATTTTCTTCGCCCAATTGTCGGGACACTCTATTTTGCACCAATTTACCTATACCAATTGACGGTCATACAAATAACTAGAGTAGATACTAAAAACCCTTCAGGTAGTCTATCATTAATATTTTACAAAATATCTTGTTCCTACAAAACGGTCGTGTGTTTATTCACAAAACCTGAAGTATAACAATCGATAGGTCTATAGAAAAATAATATATCAAACCGTATTATTGTACGATTATTTTCAATTTTTTGATGTTTTGACTATCGTGATAGACTCTGACTACATGTTAAATTTCTAATAATTAACAAAAGTGCTATGATAAAACGGGAACAAATAATTCGAATTTTTTTAAACTGCAAGAATAAACAGTGAACACATGGATTGAATCAATTCCACCGTCGAGTAATTTATCTTAAGAGAATAAAATACGACTTAGTCGACGGTGAAAATAATTAAAACTATAAAAAAGAGTGTCGTACTACTGCCAGCGGATTTCGCGCCGTGACCGCGCTCTTCAGACGGACTTATTCGCCCAACGGGGTACAGACGGAGGGACGGTTCTCTGCGCCAAAGCTCGCACTACATAACCACGTTCTCGTAGGACCGTGACCCGTCGAGTTGTGCACGCGTGTCCTTTACGTGCGTGGCGATAATTTTTGTGGTTCATCGTTTACGATTACCCGTCATCTTATCGTCCCTGTTCGAATGTGCCGCGTAGGTGCGTTGCGCGCTGTCGACCGCGACGGCGTGCCACTGGTATGTCAAGGATGTCGGTTTTACCGACTGTGTACCACCGTATCTCTTACGGTTTTATCGATAAAACGCGGTAAACATATATTACTATTACTATTATAAATAATATTATTATTATTATAACGTAATTTATACTGATAACACATGTCTCCTCTTCTCAGGATACTCCTGGAGGGTGATGCGCATAAGAGCAACAAAATAATTTTAAAAAGGTACTAAAGTTTTTTCGCTATAGGAAGTATTTGTATTGTTAATATATTCATATCTTATCAATTACTCGCATATTTGCTAATTGTCAATACATTATGAAAAAAGTCGACTCTCTTCCTCCAACACTAACTATGGTTTCAGAAGATAGACCAATCCATGTGTTTAACTATTTTGTACGTAATTGAGATAAACACAGATGAAAAAAAAAAAAATTATTACCGTATCGCTTCACACGTTTCGGTCGCACTCGATGTCAGTGGCGGCGTTGAAACGATGAGAAAACGGGAATTTTTCTATAGGACGCGCACCGCTCGCTCGAAGGTCGTATTCGTCTAGGATCAGAATTCCATGCCGACCGCCGATTTGAATTGAATTGAATTGAATTGAAATGAAAATTCCGCGCGCGCTCGCGTTGAAACGCGTCCGATATGTTTCCTGAACGCGCTCACCGCCCAGAGCCAATAATATCTTTTACGGTCTGCGGTCACCCGCGACGTCCTGTGACGCGATATGGCCGCGTGTGTTCAACGATGCAACGATGATTCAACGCATTCAGTGCGATTTATCCGTCGGCAAGAACACGTTGTAGTTGTTGACATACGTAACACATTCGAAATCGTAATTCTCGCCGTAAATGGAAAACAAGGACGTTACGGGCTTGGAAGTGGACGATGGTCCCCAGGTCGGAAGTTCGAAGACCATGCTGTCCCGTTCTTTCAGCAAGGTGAGCAACGTCACGTTCTCCGCCAAGAAGACGATGGCTCAGGGCCTGATGGACATCTCGCTCCTGACGGCCAACGCCAATCAGCTCCGGTACATAATCGAGTATCGCCACGACAACCCTACGAACTTTATCGTTCTATTGGCACTGATCGTGTGCAGCCTGATATTACAAGTAATCGTGAAACACGTGTAGTAATACATAACATTGTAATGTACCGTTGCGCAGACATTTCGTGTACCCAGGCGCGGTCTGTAATCGTACGTCTACGATCCCATCGTGTTTAACGTTTATGTACCCGTTTCGAAACAAACAGATAACCGCTGAAAAAAAATACGATCGTTATCCGCGGAGCTTAATATTATTTTTAGTGACGCGTAAACCTCGAGTTCAAGAGTTTTATTTCGGAAGACTGGTGGAAACGTACACGGTGACACGGGTGGTTCACCTGCCAAAAGCGTCCCTGTTCCTATTTACGTATGGTTTCATAACAGATTTTTTTTTTAAAAATCACTAATCATAAAGGGAATTATAAAATTATTAAATTTGAATTTGAAACAGAAAATAGCCACGGTTTTCTGTCATTATAACCTGAAAATTGTATAAATATAAATTATTTGCATGACCGTATGAAATATTATTTAATATTCGGTGTACGTGTGATGTACACATGTACACATGACATATCATAATTCATAAGTACTTCAAGGCCGTCCCGAAGGGGGGTCTTTGGGGGGTGTCTAACTCCCCCACCCCAACGAAAACACCAGTCGGCAGTCGGACTTGTTTCTTTATATCACAGAAGGATCTAATTTTATTTACGGAAAACAAATATTACATATTTCATAATACAGTGTACACACGAATAAAATTTATATAACTACTTATTATACAATATAAAATATTATTATATATATATATAATTAAATTGTCAATTTTAAGGTCGTGCGACACTGACACATATATACATGTTAAAAAGTAAAAATATGATTACATATAGTTATTTATACTGCATACATTGAGTAAAAAAATTGTAGTCAGAATTTTTCATATTATTCAACCCCCCCCCCCCTTGATTTTTATCTTCGGGAGGCTCTAAGTACTTATTACTACGGTAATGTTTATGTGAAAAAAAACCAATCATGCTTTATTTCGGATGCGATAAAGTGAACTATATTGCTGTATTGGTATTTTAAATTTAAAACTAATTGACATTTTTTTTTTTTTTTTTGAGCTTTTAAAAAAATATTATGAAAAAATATTGTTTAAATCTTTTCGTTTTTTGTGTTCCGTCGTCAATTGCTTGCAATTGTCAACAAAACCGTTAGGAAATCAAATGTATACGATTTCCCGTCAGAAATGTCTTTAGATGATCGTGATGATCAGAACAATCGTTATGTATGAAAAAACAGTGCACATAGGTATAAAAAAAAAACCCCGCTTCACGGTAAAACCAGTGCACTTCTCGGTTTGCTCGAAGTCTAAAAATAAAAACTGCGTTCCAGAAGGTGGCGAGAGGGTGATCGCTGCCCACGGAAATACACCCTTAACACCGACCGTCCCCATCCGTATCTATTAACACCATGTTCATTGTCTGCAGGTGATAGTGGGAACGATGCTCATTTTCAAAGAACGCATGCGCTGCTGCGGAGGCAGTGGTGGCGAGAACGCGGCGAACGTGGACGCGGTTCAACTTAACAACTACGCGGTCCTGGGAGTATTCCTTATAACGATCATCAATATATTCATCGCTGCGTTTACCATAGCGTCGACCTGACCTAACTTGCTTCGATGCGTAACGCCGTAATGAGTTTGTCGTGCAACAATCACATCGTCGATGTAAACGCGTTCGATGTTTCACGGATTCACGTGCCATCGGAAATAATTACTGTGCACCGAAAAACTGTATCGTGTTATTGTTGTACGCCATCGATTAAAATAAATAAAATATAAACTCACGTGTTCGGCGTACCTGTTAATCGGGCCCTGAGCTGGACTGAGCGTCCGAACGGTTACGTTACTATCGCTTAAATCAGAAAACACAGTATTAAAACGTATAAATGTTCTTCTTGTCCACCATCGTTCGATTTTAGTCTATAAACGACATCGGCACGCAGAGGTCGTGAGCCCAGAGTTTTATTCTTGATGGTGAAAAGGACGAGGTTTTATAAAAAAAAAGAAAAACGTACCATAGCAATAATCGCAACAGCAATTATAATATATTCTAGTATTCACTTATTTAATACAATATTATTTACGTTTTAAAATTTTATAACACATATAGAAATCAATCGTAAAATAACTGAGAATCGTAGGACTCTCTAACGATAAAACTCTCATTCTTATTTACTTAATCAATAATTTCTGAACAAAACGAATAATGTATCGAAAAACTTCGATGTTAAATTATAAAACCTCATTGTTTTCTTCGCCATGAGTTAAAATTACAATCAGATTTTTGTGTAATCTTTATCTAGTCAAATTATTGGTTAGTTGAATCTAACCTAACCGCAGAGACATATTTAACGATAACATATGAATCAAAGATGGAAGGAATTTCTAAATAATTGTTTACAATAAGTAATAATAATTATTATATTATACAATAATAATAATTGTTTACAAGTAGAACCGATTTAATAAAAAAAGTAATCATATCAATAAATGATAGCGTTAAAACGGTTTGAAACTAAACCGTTTTAATATTATTTAAAATGGTTAAAGCTTAAACAGTTTTTAGGTGTTTATATACGAACAAATATAAATCGGTTTTATAAATATTTTATAAACCGTTTTAAATTTAATATTTTTACTCCATGACTTTATTCGTTTGTTCCAAGAGAATACTTGATAATTGATTTGATTTGATTCAAATTTTCATATTAGATAATAATACGAGATGGTTTATTCATTTTGTTATAAAATACAAATTTACAATATTTATAAATGATGACAAAATTTAAATTAATTGTTTCAATTCTTGCTGAATTAAAACGCAGAAGATTGACAGCTGAAGTGCGAAGAAAAAAAGTGTTTAAAATGATAACTAATAAAAGAAAGTTGTTAAAACATAAAATGTTGTTAATATTTGCTACTATTTGTTCAACAGTTTTATTGTATCCTAAAGCCGTCATTTCTAATTGAACAGCTCCCGAAATCTACATGACAAAAATATATTTACAAACATACTGAAGTTGAGACTTAAAGATAACAAATATTTATTACTTCTCCATTTCTGTATCTTTTTCCATCCAAAGCAGACATTATATTTTTTTCTTTGAAGATTGCTAATAAATCTTTCACTTCTTTATCTGACCAAGAAATTCTCTTTCGTTTTTTCGGTGTCGGAGATGCCATTTTTCATGCACTGTTATTAATCAACTTATCTAATAGCTAATAGGTAATTACTAAAAACGAATTAATTACACGGTAGGTATTGAATTTTTTTTACTTTAGTTAACTACATTAACTACAAAGTAGTTAACTTCCGTTTCCCGTACCGTATTAAATATTAAAAATATATTAATATATATAAAACAAAATCTGATAACACAAGTGATAACACAATGAATGCAAAACATATCCCGCGTTTATATGTACATTTGATAAACCGATTTAAGCACATAAAACGGTTTTAAATTCTTAAACTAAATAGTGCGAGCGTTTTAACTTTTAAAACGGCTTACAGTTTTCAAACCGTTTTTAAGTGTTTACATGACATTAAAGCGTTTTAATTTCAAAACGGTTTAGTTTCAAACCGTTTTAACGCCATCATATAAACGTAGTAAATGCGGTCCACGGATTCACTGACTAGTATTTAGTTTTACATGAAATCTCCAAAATAATAATAATAATGGCAACGCTATCTACCGTAAAAGCATAGCTATCAAAATGCATGGAGAGCTACGCCTTGGCGTAATATTTTTGCCTTGTTCTAACGTTATCTAGTAGTGTAGAACGTTGGCGCATACTATTATTTTTTTTTCTTATATATTTTGTAAAATAATTGTATTTGACAAATTTCAACCATTATATTTTCTACTCTAATGAGTAAAATTTACTTGTAAAGTGTTCGGGTGAAAAAAAATAGTTTTCAATCGCTTAAAGTTCGTGAATCCGAACTTAATAATTTGAATATAAAATTTACTTATAAAGTAAATGGCAACCATAAACTACAAACGTACTCATAGAGCGCACCATGTACGTACGAAACGTTTTAAGAACGGATATTAGAATAATAATTGAAGTAAACATTTAATGGACATAATGATTTAGAAGTAAGAAAATATAAAACCGTCTTAGTTTTTTTCCTACAGGCGCCTATTTCACATCTAATCAAACCAGCTGTAGGACAGAATTTGACGAACACAAGACTAAAAATTTTTCATTAACTTTGACAGTGTAAATGCACTCAGATAATTAACTTGAGACTCGGATGAAATTAAATAATTTGTTTACAGTTTTCGAAAGAAACACTAATTAGTTTATGATAAGGTTAAGGGTATTATTTTATACACGAAAAAATGCATCTTAATAATCATATTAATCTATACATTGAGTTTTTAACTTTTGAAGATAGATGGCACCGAGTGTCGTACCTTAGGAAATTAGTTTTATATACTAGATAGTATCAACTTCGTTTCTAGTTCTGTGTAATATCTTATTTCGCGCTTGCAGGTAATTCAATAGTGTTTATACGGTTATTGAAGGACAAGTTTTTCGACTGAGAGAAAACGTAAAATGTATTCCATTTAGGCTCGTTAATTGTTATTCTCCATACTGTGTACCATTAAGCACATTTTTTTTATATGCCTTTGGAGGTAGACTTTACCAATTGATTACCAATTACCTATTGACTTTTTTCTACCAGGCAGAACTTGGTAAGATTGTAATCTAGCTACAATGGATTTGAGTGATTTTGCAGAATAGGATTGAAAACAAGCACGGAAGAAATATCAAATTAGTGAACTCCGGCGGTTCATTAAAGTTGTTATGTAAATTAAATAAAATAATTGAATCTGTTGATTCAGTAGTGACAGTTATGTGACGTTCGAATTGTACGATGGAATAAGATTGAGGACTGAGAAATATTAGCATCATTGACGGCATTGTTTACTCCTATATAAAAAATACGTTCAAAAGCTTGTTATGTAACGAGAAAATCTAACGAGCAGTTTAATTTTTTTTCATGCTAGTAAGATAATGTGTTGACTAATTGATCGACTTAGCGGACACTATACAATGGTTGATTAGTTATCCAAATCAAATGTTAGGAACTATATTTTTTTTCCATAGCCAGTAAAATTTATTTAAAATTAGTTTCTATTGTTTTTTGTATATTTTTTTAATGGTATGGAATGAGACTAATTGGTATATAAAAAGGTGCAAAGTCGGTTCGTTTTTGGATAATAATCATTGCATAATTATAAAGAATAAGTTAATTATAGCATAACTATTGAAAAATGTATAATGAATTGTCTAACTAAGTATATGCTCGTAATTAAAATATATACTATTGTCTAAAAAAAAAGGTCTACAACCTTCGGCCCATTAAGTCCCATTAGGTTTACTGATATTTCGTCAAACCTGAAAAAATGTACTCGTGAAATGATTTCAATATTTAACTTCATTTACTTATGAGAATAGACGTTTTAAAAAATGAAATACGTCACATCTAAGCATAGAACTAACTTAAGCGACGAACATTTAAAAACGACTCTGTTGATTGGAACAACAAAGTTCGATGCAAGCTAAAAAATTTCAAAATACAAGCAATTCAAAACTTCTCGTCAAGTAACTTACTTGCATTTTAATAAAAAAAATTTCGAATAGTAAAAATAAAACATAGATATATATTTTTTTAAAATCTAAATAATTCTTATCTATTTTTATTTATTCTTTAATTTCATAACCTATTTAACATTATAACTTTATTTATAACTCTAAAAAAATTTTGAGCTGCAATGCCATAGCGTATCTCAGATTTGGTTCGTCGTTTAAATAAGGTTGGATACTCCTAGACTAATACATTGAATATAGAATAATCCGAAAAACAGAAATACTATACATTTCTCTAGTATATCCATACAATATAGTACGCTCGTAAGTAATTTATCAAGTAGGTACCGATAAGAAATAGGCCCATGGCCAGATCAAATCATCAGGCGAAGCAAACCAAATTTGTTATGGGGACATATAACAACACAATGCATAACATACTACTACATTATATGTATGCAGATTTAATACTTGTTAGGGGCGACGATTAGCTCCAAGAGAGTAATGCCTCCCGTGGCTATGGGCCTGATAAGAAATAACAATCGACGATTATTTGATAAGTATGTATTATGTTCACTTAATGTAGAACATTGTTACATAATCGATAAGCATCATTGTGAAACCAAAAGAGCATAAGATTATTAATTGATTAAATTGAATTTTTTTTTATTTTTCGTTCAATCGCTTTAATCCGTTCAAGTTTACAAAAAATAAAAGTACCTATCTTTTTATTGAACACTCGACTTGTACTTTTTCAGTATTAACATAATTTGACAATGCAAAATAAATTAGTTAATTTGTCAAGTCATACCGTTATTGCCAATTCATTATACCAATTTGATGCATCACGATGTTAATGTCCCCAAGAAGTTTTCGACTGTACCAGACACTATTTCGTTGTGATGCTCGGGCGTAACCGATTGCTATTCGTACGGCCGTGTAAATGTCGTGGTTTATATTGACACGTGCGTTTGGCGAAACGTAATAATTCATAACCGTTGTCAGTACTAGAACGATGATAGTAATGATATTTTTGTTGACTCTAAATAAAGTTGAGCCTAAGACGGTACTGACACCTGAAGAAATACTATATTAATTGGGTTTCTCTTAGGCTTGAGATACTTATAATATTTATAATCTCTCAAAAACTGATTTCAAATTTCATTCAGCTTATGAATTT